GTCAATGAAGCTTCAATACCTTGCCAATTCTCACTGGCAACAGCATATTGTGTTTGTAAAGTCTCGATCTGACGTAAAAGTTTCGCTTGTGCATCACCAGTTGCACCAGTTGAAACCTCTTCAGCTCTCGCTCTCATCATCTCTAATTTACTCTCCAACATTTGTTGTTCATTTTTCATTTCAAGAGCTGCGATTCGGGCATTTTCAGCCTCTCTATCCATCTTCTCTCTGAGATCTTTAATCTGTATTTGTGCTCTATCATTAACGAGTTGCTTCTCGATTTTGAGATTGGAAATATCATCCTCCAGTTCAACAACACGTTTCTTCTCGGCTTGCAAGGCTTCATTGGCAACTCTTGCTTCTGCTTCTTTCTCTTCAGCAGCGTCATTTTCGAGTTGAGCTTTGAGGTTGGCGATGACGGTATCCTTGGTATCTCTCTCAATCTTGACTGCATCAAGTTCTTTTCTAAGTCGATTGATTACATTATTCCTTTCACTGAGACTCTTCTCAGCGCCCTCGGCTCGTTTCAAGCGCTCTGCCAGAGATGCAGCTTCCTTTTCGGCCTTTTCTTGTTTCTTTTTGATTTCCGCAACTTCTTTATTATCCTCGAGTATTTTGGCACGAAGCTTTTTAATAGTGGTCATGTGAGTTAATTCTTTCTTAGACAAAGTCTGACCTTCCTCCATGAGTAAAATGACTTGCTGTTCTTTCTCAGCCAATTTTTTCTCCAGACTTCCAGATGGTGCAGCAGTCTTAGCATTGTTAGCTGACTCTAGACTTTCTTTTGCTAAGTATTTTAGTTTTGCCTGAAGCGCATCAATGCGCTCTATGTAACCATGAACTTCCTCTTGCCTTTGTAATTCTGAGGTTTCATAGTCTGACTGTAGTTGACTAAGAGCTGCCTCGAGTTGCGCAGGACTTTTTGATGTCGAAACCGCATCAGTTGCTGGAGTAGTTGCTCTTGGTTCATCAAGAGATGAACTAACTATCGTATCATTTTGTGGAATAGAGTCAATAGATACCCTAGGTATACTAGAGGTGGTGGAATCTGTTGATAAACGAGACGTGGGTTCGGCTTTCAAGGCAACAACTACATTGGGTGATGCTTGCTGCGGCTCTGTAGTTGTTTCTGGCGTTGGTTCGACGACTAGAGTACTCGATTGAACCTCCATCGTAGGTACCGTAGGTGTATCCGATTCAATAGTATTCGCGATTTTAGTAGACCCAAGGTCTTGAGAAACTCGTTTCGTAGCCTCATCCCCTTCTAGGTTAGAAGTCGCATCTAAACTCTGCCTCGGACTTTCGCCGACCGTAATTGGACTTCCGGTCCTCGAAGGTACATTCGAAGATGTTGAATGTGTGCCAGCCTTCTGTACATTTTTCGCAGCTACCGCCCTCGCTAGACGTTCTTGTAATCGATCGTTTGTTCTGTTACTACTATTCGATGCGCTTCGAGAAATTGCTAGAGGAACTGTCAGATCAATGTGGATTCCAAGGACTTTGAGTGAATTTACATACCTGCCTCTGGTTTTGCAGCACTTGTATTGCCAGCTGCAGGAGTTGGTTTGTTTGCTTGACCTTCCTGTCCTTCTGCCAATAAAATATCCAACCTTGATTCCAATCCTCCTACTGCTTGTGACAAGAACCCCCATCTCGAGGAACCTTGCTTCGCCGGACTCGTCATGATTTCTCAATCTTCCCAGTTGAAACACGTTGCTTCCGTTGATTGTTGAATATGATTAGATCATACATTGCATTTCATGACCCAGAAATAGGAAATGGTTGTAGCCTCGTAGGACAAAACAGTTTTTGGAATTTGATTGCGGTAGATTTAACTTCCAGCAGCCCTTGAATTGGATAGATGATATTGCGAAATATATCTTGGGTATCTTCGCATATTTATCCGTGGGAACAAAAGTACGTATACTTCATCGAAATGTATACTCACTTTGAGTCTTGCTTGCGTATTGCCGTGGCTGAGACTCTTCCCTTGATACTGGACACGATTTGATTATCCAACCAATCACAATCACGAAATAACCCTGTGGGATCTGCGCAAGGCTGGCAATGACATTTCTGGGCAAGGCAAGGCTATTTTTTCGTGGGGGTCGGGGTTGTTTCTTTCATTGGTCTCATCAGAACTGGTGGGTGGATATTTGAATGGAATTTGAATTTACTCGTAGATCCAAGAAAAGAAATCATCAACGACAAAAACAATACTGGTTCATTAATCAATAGCAAAAAGCTCGAGGTTGACAATAATTCATATGCTATGAGAAAGAAAAGGGTATCAATATTCATGCTGCTATACCGTCAATGAGACACCCATCTACTCATACTCGATTCCACACTCTATTCTAACATTATGAGAGAGGTACAGTATTCTTGACCCGGATACATCACCAACCATCACCAATAACTTTTTTTCAAACCGATTTTCTAGACTCGTCTTTTGTGTGTCCGTTCCTTGCTCCATTCGAAATTTTGCTATGCTCAGGGCGTGTAATAACTTCCGGAAGACTGAAGTAGTGTGGCCAATTCAGGACATATTCATCTTGTCTATCATTCAAACAATGTCGTAGCCAGATACCCCAGACCAAGTAGAAGTATGATCCAATGCCCGTCATCAAGTGCCACCAACCATGTCCTTCGAGTAATAATCCCCATGGGAGTCCAATTTCATGTCTCCATTGTCTGACCGTCGAGCAATAATGATTATCCAAAGACCATATACCAAACCCACCTAGAAAGATGGAAAGACCCAAGCCAACCATCAACCACATTTCTCTAAGGATTTCATGTTGTCTCTGTTCACTTGCTAAACGATCGGAATGAGAAGTATCAGGATGTTCGTGAGAAAGTTCCGTGGTAGCATATTTCTTTCGAAGCGAAGGACGTATGTTGACTTCCATCACATACATGGAACGGAATAGTACGGTGGCTGTGAGAAGCGCAAATGCATTCTGGTGAAAATCCGGATCTTGAAGATAATGGTAGTAAAGCTATTGATATTTTTACTTTAGCATGGAAGCGTGAAGGTTCCGAGGACGAAGCTATGCTCACCGTTATGAATACAGACAAGAATATCAAGCTAAATGCTAAGACTTGTCTGAAGATGCGGGATTGAGAGAAGGAGAAAGTCGCATAACACATCAAACACGTAGTATAAATCATGGAAAGTTCATCTACCAATTGCATAGGATCTGAAGCAGCATCATGTCAATGATTGGACACTTTCAGAGGATAAATGCAACTTACACTTCAAGGTTGAATGGAACAAGAATGAACCTTTAGCCATGTCAGCTTGGCTTCATGTCAAGATCAACCAACTAGCTCACCTGTTCCTACAGCTCCGTAACCCAGAAAGGCCACCAAGAATACACTATCATGATCATATTTCAAACAGTTCCGACTGCCTTTGATGCAAAGCCATATAAAAAGTAGGTTGGTAAGAGTATTGACGATTTCGGCAGAGTATATAGTGGCATAATAATCCTCTATCAGTCAAGGTTAGATGAGAATAAGTAAAGACTGAGTATGGGAGGTATTGCCTTCACACCAATTTATGGTAGAGGTTACAGGAGCCCAATAACCTTCTTCTGGTCGCGCGGGAGGATATGGTATCGATGGGAGATGGAAGCCCATGGTGACAATCAGAGAGGAGGGGGTTTGTTTGTGGTGATCGCCTGTGGTGAGAGGATATATATCCAATATCCAATATCCAGTATCCAGTATCCAATCTCCAATGGTTAATCGCACAAGGGCGGGGGAGGGGTCTTTGATTTGATATTGCAGCGATGAGAGACAATAATGATAGACTGAATATATTTTGAATACTGAACTGATCTGAACCAAGTTGAATAATGAACAATAAACAATCAAAAAGATTGAAAATATCTAGACTGGTCTAATACACACACAAATAAACAAACAAACACATTGAACTTATCAAAGTCCTGGTCACTTTCCTCAATTCTCCAGGTACGTACGAGGAGCGTACGAGGTATATACAAAGTACTGAAGTGTGTCAGGAAGTGAAGGGCCGACCCTTGTCGGATGTGAGAAATGCTTAAAAATGCAAATCGTCATTCCAGTCAAGGTGGATCAAATACGATGATTTGGAGCTTTCTGGACCGGAAGCTACGGGAACTAGATTGAGAGAGAGAGTTGAGATTAACTTTATTGGAAGAGATATTCCGTATTATTACATGTGTGGGATGTAATAGGGAACTGATCAATAATGAGAGAGAAAGAATCAAGCAAGGTAGTAAGCAATAGGTAAAACTACTCGTAGGATTGTGGTAGATTCTTGATCGATTTCGTCTAGTAGCTATATATGGAAAGCAAGGTATAAAATGGTTATGGTGATATTTACCGAGGGAGTATTCTTTGCTGTGTATGCTATCTATACTGTCTATACGATCTATACTGTCTATACTGTCTATACTATCTATACTGTCTATACTGTCTATGCTGCTCTTCATGTTACCTTTTGCTAGAATCTCCAGATGACCCCTTCTTGTACATTCAAGCTTTAGATGATCATATTTACTCGTACATATCTTTCTAGAAGAAACATAGATCAGATCAAACGAGGGGGGTACAATAACCGAGGTATCAAATAAATGCAGGTCCTCGGGTACCTAACCTGCTAGTATACACCCGTTCCAAGGTTGGTCTTACAATCAATCTCAATATGTGCTGAATCTTGATAGAGGTAGTCTCGAGATAGTAGTACAGTACAGTACCGAGACGAGCGAGAGTACATACCTATTCTGCCATCAACCTCATCTTTCACCGCCTTTCTTATCGCAACTTCTTATCACAAAACCACATGATATTGATGAAAATAGTTCCCCACGCATATTGAAACAAGCAGACCGTACAGTTACCAGTATTCAACGAAGCCAAAATATCAAGGGAACTGTGAAGAATCAGATACATACATTCTTAAATTCAACTCTTTGACTCCCACTTCCACACACACATATTATACAAAGATGTCTATCTCCAACGAAGCTTTACAAAAGGTAAAACTCAACAAGACACACTCCATTTCATTCCAGCCTCCTCCCCCTCCCGTTCCCTCCAAAACCTTGCTATATCAAACTCAAAATGGGATATCACTAATACTCCCATAGCTAGTCAACGAAATTCAATCTCAAGCCATTCAAGCTGAGCAACAAATCAGTGTCGTCAAATCTCAAATCTCCCTCAAGCAACGCGAAATCCGTAAACTCGAACTCACATCCACCGAAGTATCCACGTTACCACCTGACACCAATGTATATGAAGGAGTTGGTAAAATGTATTTATATTCCTTCTCCTTCTGTTTCTGTTTTTGCTTCTTTCCAACTTTCATCTCCACCCGTTCTTTCTCTTACTTCAAGTCATTTTTGACTTTTTCTTGGTTGTTGGAACACATGATCACTTCACCAGATGTAACAAACAAGCATTAATAATTGGACAGGTTTGTTTTCAGCCCTACAGCTGATGTAGACAAGAGATTAAATCGCGAGACTAAAGACTTGAAATCCGATATTGATAATTTGGGCAAGAAATTACAATATTTAGAAACGACGTATGAGAAGAGTACGGAGAATATTACGAGGATTCTTCAAAGTGGTGGTCGTGCTTGATGGAAAGTATCATACATGTTGGACGCTTTCTCGAGGCATCTGCACTCTAGAGTTTATGAAAAAGCTGTGATCGGTATGATAGTCGGCTCTCGTTAATGGCCGGGTAGTTTTTCTGGAAGGATTTGGCTTGGGATGGATGATTGACTGATAGTGGGATTTGAGATTTGAGGGTGTGGGGAGGGGGAATACAAGTTGCGTGAAGGAGTCATATGAACTCCCGAGTCTTCAGAGACATGCCGTTGAAACAAACAAGCTCAAAAACTTCATATCGCACTTTCCCTATCTATTGAATAATAGTTTTTTCGTGTATGACTGAACCTCTCTCACTTCACTTAGGAGGAGGTAACAAGAGTGACGTGATTTTGGAAGTGCTTGAATAAGTGGGATATAAAGTTGCTGAATTGACACGGGTAACTACTTACTAGGTAGTATTAGGTGTCATGTGAGAGATGATATAAAATACAAGATCGACTTTGGTGATTGTTATTCGTTGGCATGGTCATACACGGACGGATGTCAAGCATTTACTAACTACCCAGTCCTCAAAATAGATTGAGCCATAGGTCCTACCATAGAAACCATCCTCAAGTTTCGATCTTTCCAGCACTAATTTCGACCTACTCTTTCATCATAAATCATCATCCAATAATTCAAAATCCGAAAGTAAGGTGTACAACTCGATTCTACTCTTACCTACTCCAAAGTTGGGGGCTAAAAAGCCCAAGCGAATGAAATCTAAGCGCTAACCCAACCCCTCCCCTTTTTCCAATCCCTCTTTTTCGAATGCCCAATCTTTGCACCATCCTCACCTCATCTCATCTCAAACAGCGTATCGCGAAACTACCAACCCAACAACTCATGTATGTATCATTTGTTTTCCATACTGTTTCTCTCCACCCTTTACTTTCCCTTCATACATATCCAGATTCTTCACAAACCAACGGACCACAATTCCACGTAAAACCTAAAACGCTTTTTCCAACGTTCGGTTACATTACAGTGGGGAAACATCCTTCAGAGCCGCAAGTGATCAAAGTCTAAACTCCTCGATCACAGTGTTACAATGAGCCTAATCCAATCTTACATCAAGCATTAGCATTGACATTAGCATGCGCACTTGTACCTACTTCTCTATCAACACCCTACAATACCAAGCATATCGTCTATCCCTACCCACCAACCCATCATCACCATAGGATCAATTTACGAAAGCTAAATTGGATTCGATGGTTTAGCTGCTTAGCTGCATATAATTGACTTCAAAGATGCAGTAGCGCAAGAGCGTCCCCACTAATACCGTTAGGGCTGTACGTACAAGAATACATGGGATAACTAACAGGAGTGAGAATGGCTCTGTGTGAACCGTGGTATGTATACTTGGGGATAAACTCAGGGTATTCTACAAACCCGTTCGTGATCATTCATCTGTAAACAATAATACTCATACATGATCCAGAGATAATACTAGGTATACATAACAGCCCAGTAACACGTGAATTAAATACAGGGGAAAGGCAACCACAACCACAAGTCCAAGTAAATCAGTCATTCAGCCGCTCCTCGGAGGGAAGTGAGGGGGATTTCCATCCACACCTAGGTACACACCTTAAATAAATGCAGATGCAGTAATTCCTCCAAATCTGATCCAGTAAAAGACTCTTAAATAAGCCCATGCCCATTCCTGCTGACAAGACACCCGCTTGATTTCTTTTCCTGTCTTTCTGCCTACTACTACTACTACTTCCTTCCTTCTTTCTTCTCTTTACTTCTCTTCAATATACCTACTAGATATCTAGTAGTTCAGTCCAAACTGCAAAGAACCGCTATTGGATATCCTACTGAAGATCCCCCAACGAAAAGCTGTATTTGAAGGACAGAGCAACTAGGAAGAAGGAGACGGACTTCAAAAAGCTTATCGCACCACTTTTCATCCTATCTCAACGTCGCAATCAACAGATCCCAACCCCTCGGTCGCTTCATCGCGGGGTCAGACCGACCAACCAACCAACCAACCAACCCATCTACCCAGAATTCAAATCACTCTTCGAAAATCGCATAGCATATATATCAACTTACCATTTCGAGTATTGTCTCCACCTCAAGAGAATTCTACTTTTCTTTTTTTACTTTCACTCCCAAAATTAAATAAGTAAAAAGAAAGAAAGAAAGAAACAAACAAACAAAAAATGGCACGACACTACTACGACGACGAAGAACTCGACATCCACATCTCCCGCGAAACACGGAACCGCGATCCCGCCGCTCCGATCCCCTACCGACGACCCCAATACCCACCCGTCCCCGCCTACCGCTACGGCACGAGCACCTATCTCACCCCCGAGATATCCTCTGGCATCCGACGCTCCAGATCAACCGGGCATCGCGAACGCTCGCCCGTTCCTCCACCTCCCCCCGCCGCCCCCGCCCCCCTCGCTCAACCCATCATCGTCGATAATTCCCGCCGCATCTACAACGACTACGACAGCGACAGCGACTCCTCTTCCGCCTACGAATCCCGACGCGCGCGAAGCCGCTTGAGCGTGGGTGAAGTGGGAGGGCGACGCAAACATCGCAGTCGCAGCCACAGTCGTCATGTGAGTCTTTCGCACAGCCATAGTCCGTCGTCCTCAGGGCGACCGAGCTTCACGCGCGATGATTTTGAGTTGGAGCGTACGCGCGCGGAGCTCGAGCGGATTAGGTTGGAGAAGGAGAGGGAGCGGAGTGAGAGGTTAGTGCGGGATGGGGGGGAGTTGGCTCGATATAGAGCGGAGAGTGAGAGGGAGAGAAATGAAAGATTGTTGCGCGAGGATATCGAATTGCGCATGACGAAGGGGGAGCTAGAACGGTACAAGTCCGAGCGGGAGCGGGAGCGCGAGCGCGAGCGCGAGAAGAACGAGAGGTTGTTGAGAGAAGATGTGGAGCTGCGCATGACGAAAGGAGAACTGGAGCGCATCCGATCCGAGAAAGAGATGGAAAAGAAAGAACGCATATTACGGGAAGAATTCGAGCTGCTCTCTCTCAAGGAAGAAAAGAAGCGCATGGAGAAGGAAAAGCGCACGCAGGAAGAGAGGGAGCGGGCTGATAAGGAAATTCGTGACACATACGAGCGTATGAAGCGAATGGAACAGGAGCGACACGCTCGCGAGAAGAAAGAACACGATGAAGCCATCGAGAAGTACAAGCGCGAAGAAGCCGAGAAGGCGGCGCGCGAGCGCAAAGAACGGGAAGAAATCATCGAGAAGTTCAAGAAGCAAGAAGCGGATCGTTTGGCTCGTGAGAGACACGAGAAGGAGGAGAGAGAAAAGGAATACCAGAGACGTCTGCATGAAGATCTGCATAAAGCGGGTTTGAACGAACAACAAATCGGAGCGGTGAAAGCTGGAAAGGCTCTCCCGCCTCCACAGGTTCAGATGCCTCCGCCGCCGCCACCACCAGTTCAACATCCTCCGCAATATCAAATCCAACCTGCGGCTCCGAGACCAACGTACACGAGAATGTCGAGAAAACATTTGTCGATTGAAACTTTGAGGGTTTATGGAATTTCGTATGAATTTGATAAAGAGGTATTTACCCCATTTTTCTTTCTTTGTCCCCTTTCCCTTCTATTTCCCCCCTTCTCTTTTCCCCTTCCCTTCTTTCCCCTTCACTTTTCACCACACACCACCACAAAAACACCCACTAACTCCCCCCCTCCAACCAGGACCCCGAATTCCTCCTCATCAAACGCTGGGTCCCCGAAGACGAGCAAGACATCCTCTGGACACACACCCGTCAACTGCGCGAAACACGTGCTCCACCCCACACCCACAATCAACAACACACCATCGAATACGTCAAGGAGTACGTCGTTGAAGATCGTCACAAGAAGAAACATCATCACAAGGGTGATGATTTGCAATTGGTGATTGAGAGGAAGCATAAGCATAGTCATAGTCATGGCGGGAGTAGAAGCCCGAGTCCTTTTGTTAGGTGGGCTGCTGGGAGGTAAGGTGGAAGAGGAGGAAATCGTGAGGGGGGTATGGAATGAGAAATTGACGACGTGATGTCTGGACGAAGAATGATGATGAAAGATGATTGATGAATACATGGAGTGGATTGGTGGTTAATGAGTCTGTTTTGCTTTAACGATTTTCTTGAACTTTTTTTCTTTTTCTTAGATGAACTCTCATCTCTTTTTTATGTGCTGAGCTTCTATACCCACGACATGGATCGTTATCAACGATAATTTATTTTCAATAATAAAAAAACATTCCAGCAAAACATGCAAAGGTGATGTTAGTATCATGACTCCAATCTTCATAGGGGTGTTGGAAAGTAGTAATACAAGTCAAATGATGTGAGTAGCGAATCCGTCTATACTCCTCCACATTTCTCTCCTTCATCAAACAACCCACTCTTGCTGCCCCTTCAAAACCGACTCGGCCCTCCTAATAAGTTCCTCATAGATGGTCCAAGCCAAAGCGGAACTAACAGCCTTTCTCCCCATCCTCAACCCCAATCCATCAAAAAGGACTCTTTACCCCTCCTCCCCCACCATCTTCCTCCCCGCCATAACCAAATTTGTATATTTTTTCGGCTGCAGTTGAATCCTCGTTTTAATCGCATCAAAAGGATTCGTAATCGCCGTCGCCAGCCCTGCTGCCAGTACTCCCGATCCAAAATTGATCGAAGCGCTTGTACTCCCCTTCATATTTTTGTTCAACCCCAAATCCACCTTCTCAGCCAATCCCTCAACTTGAGGAGACGAATGGACAATATGACTCAGCCTCTTCTTCAACTGTTCATAAAACAACACGTATAATCCCGCATACGGAGCATCTCTGATAGCCGTGGCTCCGAACCCAGAGAAAAATCCTCGAAATCCTTCAGTGAGGAATATATCTCGTCCGGCACCCACGATCGATTTATACGCATACAAATTCGATTCATATCTTACTTTAATAATCGTCATAGGCATGAGAATAAAGCCAGCTCCAGCTCTCGCCACCGCTCCCGTTGTCAAATTCGCTAGATTCGATAACTTGGGTAGGCTGGATGAATGTACCGTGCTCTTCTGTTCCACGACCCCAATTGTCCGGAGGAGATTCGATCTTGCGACATTCTGTCGCAGAGCATTTAAACTGGTGAAGTAGATGGCGGAACCGAATCCGGTGCGGAGAGCAGAGGGAACGGTTCCCCGCCAAAAAGACCGGATGCTATTTGGCGACTGCGAGAGCTCGCGAATGGTGGTGTAAAGAGAGGCATGGTTACTTTGTTGCACGCGGGTCTTGAGAAGATCGGCGGGTTGGAGAAGAACTGCGGACAGAATTCCTGATCCTAATCCTGCTCCGAAGTGGAAGTCTGGAAGAGGAGTATGATATTAGTTTTATATTCTTACTGGAATGAATTGAGTTGGATCGAATTAGATTGTAGGTAAAATATACTCGAGGTGGCGGGGCAAATATATCCTAGCTAGAGAAATACATACAGGAAGAGGATTTTTTCCCAGCATTTCCTCCATTTGACATTTCGCTTTCCTGAATTTATAATGGCATTTCGGTTGCTAATTGATGAAGGAATTGGATTCTTTTATCAATCCAAAAGTTGCTCACGTCAGGTTGCAGTATTATGAGAGTGGAAGGGTTTTTCGGGTTGTTCAAAAAATGTTTTGTTAAAAGTTCGGGCGCTTTGATTTCTTTGATGGACGTCATTTTCTCGGAATTCCGCATGGGAATGGAGGGTCCAATCAATTTGGGTGATGATGAAGTATACGGAGGTATATCACAATGGTTTCTCGCGACAAGAGGATATGAAGGGAAGATGTTGGATATACACATATTTATTATCGAGATAGAATAACTGCTGATATTACTTATATACAATAGTCTGATGTATTCAGATACATAACAATTGTCAGACTGAATGATAATGTTTCATCTGAAATCACAATCCCACTTTCCCGTCCTGGCTAAAATCCGTTTCCATCCCATCAGAAGCTTCATCGTTTGTCAGCAGTATCGACCAATATCAGTATCAATATCACGTCACACTCCCAGAGTATCTTTTCTCAAGAACACGAGATCTTTTACCAATTCCTCTTTGTATCATTCGAATAAATCTTTCAGAATGGATCAAGATCAAAACTCAGAAACTATCATTGTAAGAGATCATCCAATTCACATCAACACACAACTAACTCTCTCCAGGCAATAGGTCAATTATGTTCCACAGCAGACATTCAACAAAATCTTCTTACATGTCAAAAACTTGCCAAAGAAGCCTCAGAGCAAGGAGCAAAAGTTTGTTTCTTTCTTTCCTTTGCTCCAAATACTCAAATCTCAATATCCATCATCTCAACTTATCTCACACCAACCCTAGGCACTCTTCCTCCCTGAAGCGACAGACTACATAACCACCCCAGGCTCACCACCTACCTCCCTTCCTCTCGCTCTCCCTATGGCCACATCCCCCTTCGTTCTCGGTCTCCAATCCTCTGCTAAGGAATATTCCCTAGCCATTAACGTCGGGATCCACGTCCCAAATGCTTCTGGCAACAAGGTACTTAATCGATCGATTTGGATTTCCGAGTCTGGAGACATAGTGGGACAATATGATAAAGTCCATCTCTTTGACTATGCAGCTGCGGGGTTGAAGGAAAGTGATAGTGTGGAAGCTGGAAAGAAGGTTTGGAGAACGGTTGAGACGTGTGTGGGTAAAGTGGGATTATTGATTTGCTTTGATGTAAGTTATGCTTTTCTGATTGTTTCATGGACTTGAGTTTGTATACGATTTGGAGTGAAGGATTGGAAGGGAGATATCGTAGTTGATACCATTATGTGAAACGATCTGCGATACCAAGTTGGCTCTTTCTTTCTTTCTCTTCTCCTGATCATCCCCCCTTTCTTAAGCCATACCACATTCAAACCCCCTCCTCCTTCCACTTAAACCCAAAATTAACACCCCTCCCCCATTCATAGCTCCGTTTCCCCCACTGCCTCCCTTCATCTCCGCACTCGAAAAACCCAAATCCTAACCTACCCCTCCGCCTTCACCATTCCCACCGGCCTCTTACATTGGGAAACTCTTCTCCGCGCCCGAGCAATCGAAACCCAATCTTACGTTATCGCCGCCGCACAAGTCGGTTCTCATAACGCCAAACGGGAAAGTTACGGACATAGTATGGTTGTTGATCCGCTGGGAAGGGTTGTATTGGATATGGGAGGTGGGGATGTGGAAGGAGAAGAGAGCACTCTTGCGGGAGGAAAGTTGGGAATTGCGAGGATTGATTTAGGTAAAGTGAGGGAAGCGAGGGAAAAGATGCCATTGATGGCTAGGATGTGAGTACTTCTTGTGTTTTTGCAGTATGTTCTGGTTGGTTGCTGATTGATTGATTGATTGATTGATTTAGTGATGTTTACGAGTGAGAGTTGTGAACTCAATAACCAACACGAACAGCCATCGATAGAGTATAGACGATATATAATAGACATGAAGATAAATATAATGATCTCGAATATGTACGCCGTTTAATTTTTCTACCATAAAACCATTTTGATGCAAAGTAGTTGATATCTATGCCAACCAATCCTGTCCATTGTTGAACCCCGTTTTTGATAACCCATTTTCCAAATGTATATGCTCCATTCAATCATCAATCCGTACCCATAAAATATGCCCCTGATCTGAAATTTATCGCTCAGCTCTCTTTTTTTTTTTTTAAAGTAATAGCAAAATACTGTCTCTCCTGGCCGTCACCATGATCTACCTCCGCTAACCCATGCCACTTACTACCCCGTATCCACACTTCCCCGGTTTCACACCTTAATTCCCCGCACTCTATCATGTCCGTTCACACCTGTACAACTCGCCCCTCGCGACCCCCACAAATGATTTACAATCCCTTCTTACCCTTCTTCCCACTTCTCTCTCTTTCCCTCTTGGCATAAATTTCAGCTGTAAATGGATCCTCAAATCTCAGTGCCAAAAGATAAACAACCAACACCTCGATCGTGAGCAAAATGCCCGCCGGCTTTCCCCACAGAAGTGCTGTACCCAAGAAACTCATTGTGCTCCCATAGTACATTGGTGCACTACTAACATTGAACGGAAAGCCCGTCACCATCTTATCCATCAAGATTCCAAAATAATCACCGAGATATGTACCCGTGACACCAAGAGCCCACATCGAACTCAAGACGAGTGTGTTACCGGCAAGAAGAAGTGCATAAGATGCATATGTGACAAGGGGAGAGAGAAGCAATGGATGAGTAGGTTGAGAGCGAAGAGCGCGCTCATAGAGGAAATCGCGGAAGATACCGAGGGAAAAGATGGTGACGGCGAGGAAATAACATCCATATCTTGAGTTTCCATTGAAGAGTTTCGTGAGAATTTTGTTATGGTATTCTGAAAATTGAGCAATTATATCAATAGGTGCTTTTGGGCTGTAAGTGGGATTGTTTCAAATGTACCTTGACGGGCGACGGTACTGAGAGATTGGGTTAGTTTGTCATTTCTTGCGAGAGAGGAGAGGAATATGTAGCTTACTTCCAGAAAATAGGATTGAAAGCAATAGATGCTGCCGCAACTAGAAGGTCTGGTTAGTATTTTATGAAGCGTTTCCTGAGGTTGTTCCGTAATGACATACTTGCGAGGCTTTTCTGGTCAAAGTCGACCAGACCTTTGTTATTACCTAGGAAACTCGTCATGATTGTAGAGTGTGTAGGAATCAATGTGAGATGTGAAAATTGAGGTTATTCCATAAAAGATGGAATTGTAGAAGAAAAGAAATGGACAGATTGTCTTCTATGAGATTCTATAAAAGTGGTTGTCAAAAAAGTTACGGGAAAATCTTTCACGTGAAAGGCTCAACAAAATCATATCCATATGTACTCCGTACATTCCCTCCGTACCCTACCTGTTCTCATGACGTCTTTTCTTGGAAGCGAGCACGTGGCGAGTTTCAAGGATGCTTAATAAGCACGTGTAACATCAATACCTGAGTATAGAATATAGAATTTCCACCAAAATCATGCATGACCTTTCTACCTTCCTACTTTGTAACAATAAAAATAATAACCGATGAAATGTTGAATAATATAATTTTCATTTCATACCGACCAATATACCTAAATTTCCCTATAAATTTCGATTTGTTCATATTGTACCACTCACTCCATTTGTTACATTCAATACAGAATGCATAATATAATGCAATCTTTCCTAATTGCGCCATCATGAATTCCCCCCAAGGTCATGGTATCTTCATAAAGTAAGTTTATCCCCTGGATTCCTGTTCAATTTCCATACCCCATTACGCCTGCCTTCCTTCCCTTGACCCCAAATAACGTTACCCATGATATGATATGATTCGCTATGTCAGATCACTGTCGTCTCGTTCTAGTTTTCTTGGCTGTTGTTGCAGCATCTTCCTCTTCTTCGTCTTGTCCTTTCTTCAAGTCTTCATCTAATCCCCATTCTTCTTTATCATACCAATCCTAACCATCTGACATATCACGATTGTCACCGACATGTCCCTCGGCTTTTGTCCATTTCAAAACCAAATGGCGCATACGATCGGCTCTCAATAATCCGTCGTACACTTTCTGGGCTCCTCGGATAATCTCTTCTTGCTTTTGAATATAGTGCATCAATAATTTCCTTAATTCGTCAGCCTCTCCATGAGGTAAATAAAGGTCTCGATCAGGATACGAGTTCTCAGGTGCCAAAAAATAAGGATGAACGAAAGGCTCGCCATTTAAATCAGGTGTGATAGACCTCGAACGAGTCGCATTGTCGAACACCGCCTGTGCTTGGGCGCGAGTCCTCATACGGCGAGGAACGGCATTCATGACCGTATCGTCTTCAATATCTTCAGCCATCGGCTCGATATCCATTACATCCCCGGCCCCTTGCGAACCCTCTTGGTCCATCTCAACGTTGTCTGGTGGTGGTGTTACCAATTCTGAATCGTTGCCAGTGCCGTTTGCGGCAGATGTCTCGGCAATTTCTCCATTTGCCGAGTTAGATGTCATATCTCTGTCAACATCCAATGCCTTTCCCTTCCCTTTCAAGGCCTGAAGAGCAGCGACTCCAGAGGCAGCGTCGCTCTCGATACCCATAATCATCAATCCTGAAGCAGCTACGCTATCGTCGTCAGAAGCCAGAGCTACTCTCGACATCATATCCGCGTGCTGTTTTGCAATTCTTTTTACCTGAGCCCGATGACGTTCCGTTTCTGTCTCAAAAAAAGAAGCGTCATGATCAGTTTCGACGGTTTCACACGGCATCCAAGTATCATGGCCACTGAGTCGAGTTAGGAGATGTTTAATCTTCCATAAAGATGCCATTTCTTTCTGAAGCATCTCTCCCGCATTTCTTGTTAATTCTGTTAAGACTTTCGATGTGAAGGGCTGCGATAATTTTGGATGGTCAGGTAAATCGGAGGCAGAGGTTAAAGGTGCAAGGAGTTCTACTCGAAAGAGTTAGCGAGAGACTTCCAAAGTAGCAATATTTTGGAATGACGAACCTTCTAGTTTTATATTTGCATATGGATCAAATTCTGCTGCTGCTGCCTTCGCGATTGAAATCTTCTCTTCATCTTCTTCGTCGCTATCGATATTCTCGCCGTCTTCGTCAATAAGCGGGGGTTTCCTACTAATAATATCTCTCGTGTAGCCGGCATGTTCAATTGTCTATTGGCAAATAAAATTAGACAAAGATTCTGAATACTCTCCCCAAAGTGCAAACATTACCTCTCTGTATATATGTCGACCATTTGGCGGGGCCAATTGACCTTGCTGCACGTATCTTGCCCTCTTTCGTAATTTGTTTCCTCGATTTGTTAGTCTTTCGATCGAAGCATCGGAATCTGATTCTGCCAAATTATATCAGATATATCGATCAACTTATTCCTCTAGTGTAGAACAGTATATACCATATGCTTTTCTCTTGACTGCTCTTTTCATAGCAATGATTGTATCTGCGATCATAGCCGCTTGCGAAGCCATTGTGACAACTTTCGAGATATGTAAATGGGAACAATATTTTTATGGCAGCTATATTCTTAGAGTCCTACGAGCATGCCGTGATTGTTCGCATTCGATAAAAGCATCCAAGAGCTGAATCTGGGGTGCCTTGGGTACGGGGTTGTTATGGAAGGTATTTGATCGCAATGAGTTTGTGGGAAATTCGAATGTATGCGCCGGTTTACTTATCCTTGACTGTAGGAAACAGAATGAGTCCCAAGTTTCTTATATCGAGAAGTAGGTACGAGGGCAAGAAATGGGCAGAGCGGAATTTACAATGTACAATAGAAATAAAGTCGAGAATGATGAAAGTTATCTAAAGAAGCTTTGTACTTGCTGGGAGGGTGAAGCGCGAGGCTACATCAATCGGCATGTCGGTGCTTATATTTGAGAATGATCCGTGCATCGCAAAATAATCAGCCTTTCGCAGGTATCTATGGTCTGAAGTCGGGAACATGTGTATTTCAGTAGGACGGAAGCATTGAGATTGATACACCATTATATTACATTTGAGTAGCAGTCTTTAACCTATATCCTCTTCCACCAATAGTTTGATATCTCAAAAGGCTGCGTTCAGATCCAGGTTGATCGCCGACTTCAGCCTTGCCTATCTTCACATTCGAACGATTCATTCCACAATCGACCAATCGATGTTTACGAAATAACATTGTCTGGCAACGAATCCTGGACTACTTCCATCTGTAGTCTTATGGAGCTATTGAGACCACAAGACCATCAAGATGGATGGGTATGCGACTCCATATATTGCGCATAATTTACCATTGCTCGTAGTCTCCGGTTTGGGAGCTGATCCATCGCCAACCAATGCCAGATTAAAGGAAGGAGGGGTGCTAATCACTTCTGATGTTGCCCCGTTGGAATCAGAGGATGCAAACTTCATTCTGCAGTATTTCAAAAAGAGTGACGCGGGAAATCTACCATGGAACGGACACGAGCATAGCGAGAAGAATAAGTTCAGAGTGAAGGTTATTGGACGGGTAGCTAAAGATGGGCCACTCTTCTTGGAGTCAATCACTGAAGGGTTCATAGGATTATATATTACCAAGTCGCAAAGCTCCACCTCCAACGAATACTTCGCATTCCCCCGATTCGGGGAGTCCTGTCCCTAATTCTAGACTTATTTTGCACTCCCCATTATCTCCACTGACCCCTGGATCAACGGTCTTCCCAGATGGATTGTTGGATACAAAGTGGTTAGACAAACACCAAGATCTCGTACCAAGCGCATATCTTTCATTCTACAGCTTCACATCTGATCCGAACTTGGCAACCTTACATGATAATCAGTTGAAAACGGATATCAGCAATATAAAAAATATATTGAACAAATCGGGTTACAAGACTCGGCTTATAGTTGCATTATTGAGCGAGACACCCGGCGTGCCACTTCCTGATGTAGAAGAGCGTCTTTCTAATATTCGTAAAGCAACTGGTCTTGATTCGAAAACTTCCTTGTTTTTCTTACCTCCACAAAGCTCCTCGGTTGAAATTGAAGCATTTGTCGATACGATCTATTTTACTATATACCCGCTTTGTGTTGAATATTATCGTGACTTGAGCAAGCACTCAAGGAGGAAGCGCAATAGAGGCGTGGTTCCACCTCCAACAGCTCCGCCCACGTCAGGAACTTCACAAACATTAACTGGACAAGGATGGAATGTGAGATATGACTTTAAACTTGGAGTCTTTGCCGAATTCAGGCAGGAAATGGACGTAGCTGTTCGTTCATATGAAAGTGGCTACGAAGCATTATTGGGTGAAGAGGTCCTCGAAACCATTGCTACATGGAGCCCTCGATTCAACGAAGGGCGTCTCATCGCCGATGTATTTGCAATCAGAATACTGCGTTGTCTACTGTGGAATGGTCATTCATCAACTGCAGTCCGCAGATGGCAAATACATCGGGATAGGATACGTGACTTTGTGGATCGTAGAGGTAAAGGTTCATCAACATATGGCTGGCAAGCATGGGAAGCTCGTTGGGCAACTATCATGGCTGAGATGATTGAGAAAGTTAACTTCACGGATTTTACTCAATCTAAGTCAACCATATATTTACCACTTGACAAAGCTACTTCAACTGGGGTGCAACCATGGGAGAGCCTCCATCATCCAGGTTATTGGTATCGCGAGGCTTCGAAACATTTAATGGCTCGTCGAGCTCTTGCTTTAGCAATACCAGAGGAAGATAGGTCTCCGCCTGGATCATCCCCCGCCTCACAGATTGCGAGTAGAGTTTATACTTATGATACATATCTCTGCCCTCAACCTCACGAGGAAAATCCTTTGCCAGGTCGTACAGGCGTTGATCATGCAAGTCTTGTAATTGACGTCCTGAACAAAGCCATCACTGAATTTCAAGCGAGAGGACAACACCGTCTAGTGCAGGAGCTCCTATTTCAATGCGGAAAAGAACATATGAAAAGGGAAGCATGGGATGATGCATTACGAATTCTTCGTGCCCTGTGGCAGAAAATGACGTACAGGAATGAGGGGTGGTGGGTTGTAGTTGAGGAGATTGCATGGACTTTGAGAAAGGCTGCTGCTAAGGTCGGCGATGGAGGCACAGTTGTTGCTGTGGATTGGGAACTTCTACATACCTGTCAGTATACCACGACAGATAAAATTTATCATTTATTAACATTCAACATAGGCTTTGC